CTGAGCGTGAAGCAGGCGGGGTCCCGAGGGTTGGGCGATGCTGAATGGGGGGACGAGTAATGTGGAGGGGGCAAAGACGTGGGGGGGGGGGGGCTGGGCGAAGACACGTGCACCTGCCGTGCCCCCTGGCACCTCTCTGCACCTGGTATGGATCGCCCACCTCTCTTGACCCCCGCTGGATCGCCGCCCCCAGGACGCAACGCCGGAGAGGGGAAACGGGCCCCGTGCCCCGAGACCCTCCCCCATGACCAGCTCTTCGTCGAAAGTCGTTCTCCCGACAGCCCTGGGGCCCGTGGAGGGTCGCGGAGGCCAAAGACGGCGAAAGATACGATAATACCGCCGGCCCCCTTGTGGGGCCACCAGGCTGTAGGACCGTGATTCGCAGTCCCACCAGCCCTTTGGGCGTGAGTGGTTTAGCGAGCTTTCTCTGTTCTCAACCCCCCAACCCCCCTTCTTCCCCTTCGGGGAGGGGTTTACCCCTCCCCCTACACCCTCCCCCTGGACCTGGAGAGCGCACCCCGCGGGTCGTCAGGGTGGTATTTTTCGACGCCTGGGAGGGCGAAAAAACGACGACCCTCACGAGGATTCTGGCTCCGACGGGGGGACGCTCTTGTAGCCCCCTCCTCTTCTGTTAAGCCAAAATCCTTGCTTTTACGAGGGTTTTGGCCCCATTTTGGCCTCCCGAGGGGGCCGCGCTCATCTTCCTTCATAGCAAAATTATTGATTTTACGATGGTTTTGGGCTCATTTTGTCCTTTTCAGGGGGCAGCGCTTCTTTGCGCTTCTGAGGAGGTCGCAAGAGGCGCCAAGATGGCCCCAAGAGGCCCCCAGGAGCCTCCCAAGAGGCCTCCAAGAGGCCCCCAAGAGGCCCCCAAGAGGCCCCAAGAGGCCCCCAAGCCCCCCAGAGGCCCCCAAGAGGCCCCCAGAGGCCCTTCACACCACGAGGAGCCCGAACGACTCACACCACGACGCGACGCCTCACGAACCCGAACGACTCACACCACGAGGAGCCCGAACGAACGTCACACCAGGAGGAGGGGCAGCGCTCATACAAGCCCCCCAAGAGGGCCCCCAGAGGTCCACCATATGGCCCCAAGAGGTCCCCAGATGGGCCACAAGAGATCCCCAGGAGGCACCACGACGCCTCCAGGAGGCCCCACAGATACCCCCAAGAGGTCCCCAAGATGCGCCAAGAGGCGCCGAAGACGCCCCAAGAGGCCTCCGAGCAGCTTCCAAAAGACATATACTACTACCCTTTCCCCTACGAATACTACTACTTGTACTTCTACTACTACTCATATTCGTTGCATTACATACTGGAAATACCACTACTACTACTACTACTACTACTACTACTACTACTACTACTACTACTACTACTACTACTACTACTACCACTACTACTACTACTATACTACTACTACTACTACTACTACTACTACTACTACTACTACTACTACTACTACTACTACTACTACTACTACTACTACTACTACTACTACTACTACTGCTACTACTACTACTACTACTACTACTACTACTACTACTACTACTACTACTACTACTACGCTACTACTACTACTGTCGCTACTACTACTACTACTACTACTACTACTACTACTACTACTACTACTACTACTACTACTACTACTACTACTACTACTACTACTACTACTACTACTACTACTACTACTACTACTTACTACTACGACTACTACTACTACTACTACGACTACTACTACTACTACTACTACTACTACTACTACTACTACTACTACTACTACTACTGCTACTGCTACTACTACTACTACTACTACTACTACTACTACAATTCCTGCGACTACTACTACTACTACTACTACTACTACTACTACTACTACTGCTACTACCTCTACCAGTACTACAACTGATCCGACTGGTACTACTTCTACTACTACGACTAGGAGCCGAAGAGGAGGAAGAGGAGGAGGGAGAGAAGGAAATGGGAGGCAAGACAAAAAGCGGTTGTTCACCAGTCCTACACGTAACCGACTCTGCCGACTCACACGACGGCGACGCCCTGGACCAGAATGCATGTGGTGTGCGTCGTTGGGCCACCTCGCCCTGGTGTGAGTCGTTCGGGCTCTTCCTTGTGTGAGTCGGTCGGGCCCCTCTCCGAACGACTCACACAAGGAAGGAGGGGCCCGAACGACTCTGTCCAGGAGGGGGGACCCGAACTACTCACACCAGGACGAGGGGCCCGAACGACTCACACCACGAAGAGCCCGAACGACCCACACCACAAGGAGGAGCCCGAACGACTCATACCAGGACGAGGCGCCCGACCCATTCACACCACGAGGAGCCCGAACGACTCACACCACGACGCGGGCCTCGAACGACTCACACCAGGACGAGGCGCCCGACCCAGTCACACCACGAGGGGCCCGAACGATTCACACCACGTCGCGGGCCCCGAACGACTCACACCACGAGGAGCCCGAACGAGTCACACCAGGAGGAGGGGCAGCGCTCATACAAGCCCCCCCAGAAGGCCCCTAGAGGTCCACCATATGGCCCCAAGAGGTCCCCAGATGGCCCACACGAGGTCCCCAGGAGGCACCTCGACGCCCCCATGAGGCCCCAAAGATACATCCTAGAGGTCCCCAAGAGGCCCCCAAGAGGCTCCAAGACGCCCCCAAGCAGCCCCCAAGAGGCCCCACGAGGAGCCCGAACGACTCACACCAGGACGAGGGGCCCGAACGACTCACGCCACGAAGAGCCCGAACGACTCACACCACAAGGAGGGGCCCGAAGGACTCATACCAGGACGAGGCGCCCGACGGACTCACACCACGAGGAGCCCGAACGACTCACACCACGACGCGGGTCCCGAACGACTCAGAACACGAGGAGCCCGAACGAGTCACACTAGGAGAAGGCAGCGCTCATACTACTACCAGTACTACAACTGATTCCTACTGGTACTACTTCTACTTCTACGACTAGGAGCCGAAGAGGAGGAAGAGGAGGAGGGAGAGAAGGCGATGGGAGGCAAGACAGAAGGCGGTCGTCCTCGACCAGAATGCAGGTGGTGTAGGTCGGTGGGGCCCCTCGCCCTGGTGTGAGTCGTTCGGGCCCTTCCTAGTGTGAGTCGTTCGGGCCCATCGCCGAACGACTCACACATCGGTGTGAGTCGTTCGGGCCCCTCGCCAAACGACTCACACATCGAGGAGGGGCCCGAACGACTCTGTCCAGGAGGGGGGGACCCGAACTACTCACACCAGGAGGAGAGCACCGAACGAATCCACTGCACCGTGCGAGCGGCCACACCCACCCATTATTGATGCAGCGGTGTTTCACAAGGTACTCCCAGTACTGGACCCCCGCAATCACCAAGAATAAAAGGCAATAGCGGCGAGTACCCTAACCAGCACCATCCCCTCAGCAGAATAACAAGCACCAGTGCAGAATACAGAAACCAGTACCAGCGAATTCACGAACAGAAGCTCAATTGAGGAAACATTTCGTCTCCCCACTCGCCTTTCCAGTCGTCCAATCCACTGTATCCGAGGCAATAGCGGCGAGCACACTAACCAGCACCATCACCTCAGCAGAATAACAAGCACCAGTACATAATACACGAACCAGTACCAGCGAACCCACGACCAGAAACTCAATTGAGGAAACATCTCGTCTCCCCACTCGCTCTCCCCAGTCGACCAATCCACTGCATCCAAACGTCATCTCACCAATGAACCTTCACTGAATACAGAGACCCGCACTCCCACCAGAACTCGGCAATCAGCACCATCACTGAGTACACTGATCAACCCCAAAGAACCCAAGCACGAGAGACTATATACCATCTCATCCCAGTGCTGGACACCCGAAAGAACCCAGCAATCACAAAGAATAAGAAGCAATAACGGCGAGTACAGTAAGAAGCACCATCACCTGAGCAGAATAACCAGCACCATTACAGAATACAGAAACCAGCAGCACAGGTAGCGTCGCCAGTAATACAACTGAGACGACGACCTCCGCGCCGAACCCCATCGTCCCCAGGCTTTGCTCCACCATTCTTGCATCGGTTGCAACTCGTCCAAGAACTTGCGGTCGTCGGCGGACATCGCTCCGTCGCTGCCCGGCCAGCGTTTCTCTCCGAAAAAGACGGGGGTCAGCGGGCATTTGGCCTGGTGACTGCGGCAGTGGCACTTGCACTTTCGCTGGCTCTTCTGCAGTGCTTTGCGCAGGTGGCGCACTCTTTCTTCGACGTCAGCGACACTCCTTGCACTGTAGCTTCATGCGATTGTGATGCTTCTGATGCCTCAGTAGCGTTTGATTGAACTTTCGGGCGCCGAACCTGCAAGTGCACATCTGGCACATGTACGTCTCCAAATCCGTCGAAAGGAATCCTAGCGCACGGCATGCTTTGCAAACAAAAGTTGTGCCCTTTGAAGACGCGTGATTATTGCGTTCAGTCTTCGACCAGTACTTCAGTTCATACGCCGTTGTACACTTCCCACACCGCAGCCTCGTCTGACAGTCCAGGCACACCAAACGGGCCTGCACCCGCCTCTTCGCGTTGTACAGCACGTACTTGTCGAACGCAAGGCTGCCCAAGTGCTCCAAGCAATCTTCACACTGGTGCTCGTCGATGTTGCCAGGTGCGAACCCTCGCTGTGCGCAGCCCGGGCACACGAGGTCTCTATCGTCATACCGATGATGTTTCATAATAGCCGCGCCCCACACGCCTTCGTCAAAAACGTCTTTGCAAGCAGCACACCCGTGGCTCTGCGGGGTCAGGCTCTTCTTCCAGCACTCACGTTCCACACACCGCTTGCATATGGAATGATCTGGCGGGTCTGTCCTTGCAGCGAGGCCCCAAGAATCCACGCACGAGGACCCCGAACGACTCACACCACGCCGAGGGCACACAACGATGTACTCCATGGACGTTGGAGGCGACGAAGAACCCGAACGACTCACACCACATGCAGCCCGAACGACCCACACCAG